AATTTTATTTGATTTGATTGTTAAAAACAAATAATAATTAATATTTATTACTTAATAAATTAAAATTAATTTATAAATTAATATTTTTTGACATTATAATCATCTATTTAAGAAAGAAAAACTACAAATATTAATGAAATTGAATACAATTTTGGTGGTTTTGACAATCGAATTGATGGCCACACCCCATGCAAGGACAAAGAAAAACACAATAGAGAAGTATTGTGAGAAGGGTTTTTTAGAGTATGGTGCGTTATCGCCACAGATTAATTTATTCACCGCAAGAAAAACTTGCCTTTCACGGCATTTAATTTTCAATGTTGGGGTATTGGGGCAATGTTTTGAGCATGATTTAGATAATTGTGACATTGAAGTCTAAAAATTCTAGAAAATTTTAGCTTTAATACTACGTTACCAACACTTTGGTCAATGTTGTAATAGTTTCTATAACGTCGGCTGTTATGACCAAACAAAATTATTAATATTGTATTTGGAAATATCCATTTTGTTTGGTTTAATCATTAGTAATAGTTAATAACGGTAGTTATTAATTAATAATTAATAAAATAATTAATGTTTATTAGTTAACATTTTAAAATTAATTTAAAAACTAATGTTATTAAACACCATAACTAACTATTTAAAGTAAAAAATTAAAATTGTGTGGCCATAATAAAATTGTATATGGTAATAGCAACATTTAATTTTCTAACTATGTTCTTGAGGAACAAGTTAAACATACAATAAATATAGTTCTTGATCATAAATTTATATTGAAAAATAAAAGTTAATTTTTAATTATTTATTTATTTAATTAAATTTATTTATGTGATATTGATATTAAAATTAATGTTAATTTGTATTTTTCACATAATTTATAATAAAAAGTGTATTTATTGCATACAGCTGAGCATAACTAAGAAAACCCTTGCAAGAATGTAGAAAGAACTGATTAGAACTTTAAGCTTTGGGCTTATCTAACTTGTGTTCTTTAAGAGACAAGTTAAAAGTATGGACAATTATACATACACCCTCTCAATCAACACTCATCTCAACACCCAAGGCTTATGAACAGTAAAATTACAAATTTACCCCTCCTCATTTTAGCCTTAGGTGTTGAGATGGGTGTTGATTGAGAGGATGTATGTATAATTATCCTAAAAGTATATTACTTACACTTTTTTTTCATTAATTAATATTGGAAAATATAAAAGTTAATTTGATTTTCAAGAACAATTTACATGCATGATTTTTAATTAGGTCATTGATAAAATTGAAGTTAATTTTTATATATTTTTTTTCATAGCAATTAATTAAAAAAAAAGTGAAATTAATTAAGGACACAATTTAGAAAAACCATTAAACTTTAAATTGCCAACAGGGACTGGAAAGTTAAGCTAAAAAAAAAAAAAGAATGAGGAAAATTTATAACTATATATTATATAAATAAAATGCTATCCCATACACATTAATTAGGGCATGTATTTAATAATTTATAAAGTATAAAAGTATGTATGTGAAAAGAATAAATACATTTACCTTTAAGAGTATACGTCTAACAACTATAATGTGAAACTAACACATCCCCTATTGTCGTTGATACTTCCAGCTTTCTTGCCTTCATTTCTACCACCAGCACCAGGGCCTATGTTCATGCATTCGACAATATTAGTTGGTCCTAGGTTGTTGAAAATGAAATCTGCACCCTTCAAATTACTGTTAATACGTTTTGTTCTAAAGCCAGTATTGCAAGCTTCGTCCCCAGCTGGCTTTGATATCTGTTCATGTCACCCATGGAATTGAATGAATAAAGCGCTCAATTAATAGGACAATTAATCATTAAGATCTACTTAAACCATTAATGAAATTGGTTATGATCAAATTGTCACCTTTCTTTTTTTTAAAGGAACATCTGTATCCGCAATGTCATCCCTTGACTCATTATTAGTACTTATCTTATGCCACCATGATTTCTGGTTCATTACTTTCACTTGAAAATGGCCCTCTGTATTTTTCTCCAGAACAGCTTGAGTAATCTGTCCATGAGAAGTTGCGATAGGCAGAGGCACTGAGCAGGAAGATGACAAACTTATTTCTGCAGAGATAACAAGTGGGTAAACACCCCCTCCGTGTTTAAAAGTTTCAACCGATTTAAATACGCTGAGGTTTATGTCGCCTTCAGGCTGACCGAATTTCTGAGCCAGTCCTTTCTGGAACTGATATATTTTGGGTTCTTGTATGACAGAACCCACAGGCTTGAAGGTACAGTTGGCTTCTTCCTTGGCAACGTAAAATATGGTGAAGCTGTCAGGAGGAAGCAATGAAAAAAAAACTCATCAATAGATATAGAGCACACAAACTAGCGCCCGGGGAAGAAGCAACATGATCAATGTAAAAATTAAGTTACGGCATGGTTTGACTTCAAAATTTTGAAAAGTAAAACTAGAAATTATTTTTTAAAAAAATTATGAAATTTCATGTATGGCAACAAGTTATGAAATCATGTATGGCAAGAACCCTCACCAAAATTGGGCGCAAAATAGTGATGCTACACGCACTACCCCACGTCTTGTTTTGCATTATACAATATGAAAGTGATATTAAATTATTGGATACATAAAATAATATCATTATTTTTTTTTTTTTGATACTAAACTCCCTAATATTCAGAAGTCTTGTTGAGTTTCAATTAATTTGAAATCGACTTGGGTTGAACTTTATTAAGGGTAGAAGTTAGCTTAGTGTCTGTTTTTTGTTAAAAAATCAAGGATTCCCGAAAAGAAGAAGATGGAATGAAAAATTGAATCTCACATTAAACTAAAAATAATCCAGCCTTTAAATAGGCTTTACAAGATAATATTATCTAAAAAGATAACTAACCAATCTTATCTAATCTAATTTAAATGACAACAACCTAAAACAAATAAATAACTCAAACTTCCTAAAATATAGAGATAATGGCTAAACAATAGGATCTAATTTTCAACAATCCCTCCCTTAAACTGAAAGTCTTCATACTTTAGTTTAAAGAAATCTGAATAACACCATATCTGCATATATGCAATCTGGAATCTGCAGACTCTCCCTCAAACTGAATTCTGCATGCTGCAAACACCAAGTAACTCTCTCAGTTTTGAAAAAGCTGCTACTTTGAGGGGTTTTGTGAATATATCAGCCACTTGATCTTCTGTTCTGCAATAAATCAACTCAATTGTTCCATCTTCTACCAAGTTGCGCAAGAAATGATACCTCACATGTATATGCTTGCTTCTCCCATGTAGAATTGGATTTCTAGAAAGTTTGATGGCTGAACTGTTATCACAATAAATTGAAGTGGCCTCATGTTGATTCAGCTCAAGTTCCTCCATAATTCTTCTTAACCAAATAGCTTGACAAGCACAAGAAGTTGCTACCACATACTCCGCTTCTGTTGTGGACAAAGTCACAATGGGCTGCTTCTTTGAAGACCATGAAATTGCACCAGATCCCAACATAAAAACAAACCCAGAAGTGCTTTTTCTGTCATCCAGATCTCCAACATAATCATTGTCTGTAAAGCCTGCGAGATTTGTCTGGTCACCCTTTTTGTAGAATAGTCCAAAATCTGCAGTTCCACATAAATACCTGAGAATTCTTTTAGTAGTTTGCAAGTGCAACTCCTTTGGATGCTCCATATATCTGCTAATCAGACTTACGCCATGCATTATATCTGGTCTTGTTGCTGTCAGATACATCAAACTTCCAACAATCTGCTTATACAGTTTGCTGCCCACAGATCTGCCTCTGGATCTTTCACGAGCTTTACACCTTTGTCAACTGGTGTAGTGACAGAATTGCAGTTCTTCATTTGAAATTTGTCCAGAACTTCCTGCACATATTTTTTCTGACAAACAAAAATTTCAGAATCTGACTGTACTACTTCCAGACCAAGAAAATAATGCAACAAACCTAGATCTGTCATTTCAAATTTAAGCTTCATGGACTGCTTGAACTTTTCCAACATGCCAAAATCATTCCCAGTATAAATTAAATCATCAACATATAAGCATACTATAATCAATTTACCTCCATCTCCAAATTTAATGTAAAGTGTATGCTCATAAGGGCACTTTTGAAAACCTTTCTTCAAAAAATAAGCATCAATTCGACTATACCAAGCTTTAGGTGCTTGTTTTAGTCCATATAATGCTTTCTTCAATCTGCAAACCTTATGCTCAAAACCAGATTTCGCATAACCAGGAGGTTGATCAATAAATACCTGTTCTTGCAGATTTCCATGTAAGAAGGCAGATTTCACATCAAGCTGATAGATTGGCCATGAGTTCTGTGCTGCCAATGCAATCACCAATCCAATGGTATCCATCCTTGCAACTGGAGCAAAAACTTCTTGATAATCAATGCCAAACTCTTGCTTGTAACCCTTTGCCACCAAGCGAGCTTTGAATTTGTCAACCACCCCATTCTATTTGAGCTTTGTCATGTAGATCCACTTAACACCAATTGTTTTGTGCCCTTCTGGAAGATTTGTCAACTCCCAAGTCTGGTTCCTTTCAATAGAACCAATTTCTTCTGCCATGGCTTTTTGCCACTTTTCTTCTTTAATAGCTTCTTCATATGTCAATGGATCACAATCTACAAATAAAGCAAAATGATTAACTGGAACATCATCTTGAGGTAGATCTGTTACCTCATAATCTTCCAACCATGCTGGTATTCTCTTTTTACGTTGCGGTTTGGAACTAGTTCCAGATTCCAGTTCTAGTGTTGTTGGCAGACTTCCTCCAGTATTGAACTCTACTTCTGTAGGCAGACTTTCTTCAACTGTCTGTCTTGAAACCTCGAGATCTGTTGAAGTTTGACCTTCTGAGTTCTGCACAGTCAGATCTTCTCCATTTTTGAAATTTGCAAGAATTTGTTACCCAGATTTTTCTGTCCAAGACCAAGTGCTTGCTTCATCAAACACTACATCACGGCTAATGATGACTTTCTTGGTTAAAGGATTGTATAATCTGTAAGCTTTGGACTGATCACTAACACCAAGGAAAATACACTTTTCCCCTTTGTCATCAAGCTTACTTCTTTTCTGATCTGGCACATGTGCATTTGCTATGCACCCAAAAATTCTGAAGTAATCAATAGCAGGTCTACGTCCATTCCAAGCCTCTTCTGGCGTCAAATCTAGAAGTGGAGATGTGGGACTTCTGTTCAAGATCTGAACACTCCAATTAACAGCTTTTGGCCAATACTCCTTAGGCAAGCCGCTCTTTGACATCAGACTTCGCACCATATTCATGATTGTGTGATTCCTCCTCTCACAGACACCATTCTGCTGAGGTGTATAGGCTGCTGTGAGTTGCCTTTTAATGCCATTGGACTCACAAAAATCTGCAAATTCCTTTGAATTAAACTCACCACCATGATCTGTACACAAAACCTTTACAGATCTGCCAACCTCATTCTCAGCCAAGACTTTGAAATTTTTAAAGGCTGCTAAGGCTTCTGACTTGGTCTGCAAAAAAGACACCCATGTTTTGCAACTGTAATCATCAAGAAAGGTAATAAAGTATTGTTTACCCTCATTGGATGTTGGATTTATGGGTCCACATAGATTAGAATGAACTAGATCTAGCACCTGCTTTGCTCTGCAAGATCTGTCTTTAGGAAAGCTGTCACGATGCTGTTTACTGACCATGCAGATTTCACAAATTTCTGAAGGAGAATCAAAATGAGGAAGACCATTTACCATCTTCTTCTGCTGCAAAGCTTTCAATCCACCAAAATAAAGATGTCCAAATCGACAATGGCATAACCAAGTTGTGTCCTTTAATCTGGCAGATAAACATGACAGATTTGTGGTCTGCAAGTATAATGGAAACAACCTATTTCCCGTCATCTTGACCTTTGTAATCAGGCCAAGTTTTGAATCACGAATTTGGAAAACTCCATCTTTAATAAGGATTTCATATCCTTTTTCTTGAAGTTGTCCCAGACTAAGCAGATTCGACTTCAAATCTGGTACATACAGAACATTAGAAATAGTCTAAATTGAATTGTCTTTGGCACGAATGGTTACCTTTCCCCTTCCCTTGACTGCAATAGTAGAATTATCACCAAATTTCACCTTGTCTTGACAAGACTCATCCAAATTTGAAAACGCAGATTTGTCTCCACACATGTGATTGCTGCAACCAGTATCCAGATACCACACATTCTTCTTGCTGACTTCTTTAGGATGACAGACCATGAATAGAGAGGAATCATCATTCTTCTCATTGTGTTCTGCAAAATTGGAACTTTCTCCTCTATTCAGATTAGCATAGCACTCAGAACGATAATGGCCATACTTATGACATCTGAAGCATTCAATATTTGCCTTTCCTACAGATTTGGATCTGTTATCTACAGCTTGATAATTTCTATTCTGCCACCTCTTCTGAATTCCAGTGGCTGAACTTTCCTCCAATTTGTCAGATCTCGGTCTGCCAGATCTTGGTTTGCCTTTCCAGTTTTCTTTTCCTCGACCTACAGCCCTTGAATTAACTATGGTCTTCAAGGCTTGTGTCTGCGAAATCTGCACTGCTTACTCTTGCTTGTTTTGGCGATTTATCTTCCGCTTATGAATTAACAATGAGTTCTGCAACTCATCAAGAGAAAGTGCCTCAATATCATTTGACTCCTCAATTGAACAAACAACATAATTGAATTTTGTTGTCATAGAGCGAAGGATTTTCTCAACTATAGCAACATCCTCCAGATTTTCACCATGGATCCTCATCTTGTTTGCAATAGCCATCGTCCTTACAAAATAATCATCTACAGATTCACCAATCTGCATCTACAGAACTTCGAATTCTGCCCGCAAAGCCTAGCGCTGTTGCCGCTTTGCTCTTTTATTCCCTTGGTACTTCTTCTTCATGGAATCCCAAATATTCTTGGAAGTAGACTTGTTAAGAATTGTTTCCAAGATAGCCCGATCTATGGCTTGGAACAAATAGTTCCTAGCCTTGATATCCTTCAATTTTTCCTTCTCAGTTTCTGCCCTCTGTGCATCATTTGCACCTGCCACTGGTTCTGGAACTCCAGCTTCAACAATGGTCCAATACTCTTTGGACTGGAGAAAATTCTCCATCAACATACTCCAATGGTCGTAGTGATGACCATCAAAATGAGGGATTGAGGGCTGGACATAATTTTCGGAAGCCATGGAATTTTTTTGGGAATAAGCTTTGATACCAAATGTCAAAAAATCAAGGATTCCCGAAAAGAAGAAGATGGAATGAAAAATTGAATCTCACATTAAACTGAAAATAATCCAGCCTTTAAATAGGCTTTACAAGATAATATTATCTAAAAAGATAACTAACCAATCTTATCTAATCTAATTTAAATGATAACAACCTAAAACAAATAAATAACTCAAAGTTCCTAAAATATAGAGATAATGGCTAAATAATAGGATCTAATTTCCAACATTTTTGTATTTACAATATTCAAATTCGACACTTTATTTAAGAAAAACTAAACTTCTTTCTATTTAAACCAATACATTGTTGGTTAATATTATTACATTCTTATTAAAGTGATTTTTAATTAAGATTATCATATGATCTAAAATTTAAGATAAAAATTATTAGCTTTTACAACTTAAAACAACAAAATTTGAATTTAAGGCCTCTTACACCTAAAAATCAGTAATGCAATCCTATGACATTTTTTTTGCCAAGTAATAGTTTGACATTAAATAAGTCACTTGGATTACTTTTAATTTCATTTTCAATCAATAAAATTTAAGATAAAAATTATTACTCCCTCTATTCATTTTTTGGAGATGTAGTTTGACTTTTTGATTTTTAGGATACGAATTTTGAATGAAAATTTAACAATTTATATGAACAACAATTGAAATATTTCATCACTTTGATTGCTTCTATCTTTCTTTCCTATTGTTAAATAAACAAGAAAGAAAAGAAGGAACACATTTTTACGAAAAAGTCTTCCTTTTTTTTATTATATTAGCATAGCATCAAGTAGTAAACATTTTACAGTAGGGATTTTCTCATACATGCAAACACAACAAATAAAACCAAACAAAGACACTTATAGCACATGCAGGAGCCTATCTCCAGTAAGCACCGGAGTGGAACTCCACTATGAAAAAAGATCACCAAACATGAAAACATGCATCGGAGGGACAAAAAAATTTCAATTGTTGTTGATATAAATTGTTAAATTTTCATATAAATGGTTAAATTTTTATTTAAAATTCCTATTTTAAAAATAAAAAAATCTAATTAAATCTATTAAAAATGAATAAAGAGAGCAACTTTTTTCTATTAAGAAAAAAACAAATGTTATTATAGGAATAAAAAATTTATTATAATATCGTATCACTCAATTTTTTTCTTTTAAATTTATTTTATTTTCAATTAATGTTTATTTTAGAACATCTATTAAAATTTTCTATCTTTATTTTTCAACCAAAAAAAAAAAAAAATGGAGTGCTATAAATTTTTAACACAAAGCTAGAAATATTTGAGTTACTTCAATTTTTGTTAAAAATTAATAATTATTATCTCATAGTTGATTTCAATTTATATCTCTAAAAACAAAACATCAAATTGAACAGGGCAATCCCAGACCAATTTGGTCTCGAATTTGCTAACAAAGCTTTAGTAGGGAGTTAATTGCTAGCGAAAAATATTTTAGGCTGATTTCTTCAG